ACAGCAAGAAGCCTCCCAGATCTCCAGATGCATTTGAGATATCAAAAAAGTACTCCAGAGTGTTGTTCAGCATGGGGGTGAGTAGAAAATATAGGCTAATCATGTTTTGGGTGTACTATTCCTTTAAGATGTTTGCACAATGAACTTGCTACATGTAAGAAAAATAGAGAGAAGGGAGATGGACGATTGAGTGATCAGCCTAAGAACAAACTCTGCAGGGGTACACACTGTTCTTCCTGTTTATCTTTCTTCTTTATTACCTGCTCCATCTTTCTATTGTGCTGCAGTTGTTAGAGATGATGTGGTCAGAATGTTCGGTAAGGAGAATGTATGTTTAGGACACGAAGACCAATATATGATATTCAGAGAATTGTTTTTATATATATATATATATATATATATATATATATATATATATTCCTTTTTTTATTTTTTCTGTGGATCTGTGCGTAAAACCTTAGAGTCAATATCATTCCTTGGCATTGTGGTTGCGGATCACAGATGCTGAGCTAAAAGAATAACTACTTTAATGAGTCAGGGAGAGAGAAGGTCAAATAAATTACTTAAACTTAATCTCAAGCAGCAACATTTTCTTTTAATCTAATTTTATTTCATTTTTTTTTTCTTTAAATGTTTCCTCTGTCAGTTTGTGTTTCCCATAGGAAAATTAACTGGCACTCTGCTTCCTGCCTCCATAAAAAAAAACCCCAAAAAACGGATATCTGTATAAATACCATCCTGATCCAAACAAGATGATGACTCAAAAGATCACAAAATAGCCTTGGCCTTGACTTTTATGATATTTTTGAGGTTATAGTTGTTTTGAGATGGTAGAAATCTCCTTTGCTGTTTGTCCTCCTAAATCTAACCATTAGCTTCAGCCTCTGATTTCATTGCAAGGAACTAAGAGTGATATTTAATTTAGGTGAGAAATTAACCTCTTCTAACTTTTATAAGGAACAAAGTTGACCAAATCCTTAATAAACCAAGCTAAACATTTTCAGTTGTTCTCTAAGATTCCAGTTTTTCCAGTAATCCAGGAGTAGTACCGTGAAACTCGGGTGTAGACACCATATTTCCCCTTCTGGGCACAACCCTCCCCCCAGCTGACTATGCCAGTGAGGAACCAAGTTCCTTTGTAGTTGGTGGCATGCGGTCCACCGCTGTCCCCCTCACAGGAATCACTCAAACCATCTGAAAAGCCAGCACAGAACATAAAAGCGCTGATTTTGGACTTGCTGCTCTGGTGGCACAGCGTACGGTCCACGTGAGGAACAGATATCTTCTGAAGCTTGTCGGACAGACGGCCCAGGCTGCCCGTCCGTCCCCAGCCGCTCACCAAGGAGCTGCTGGAATCTCTTAGGAGACTCTGTATGAAGGGTTTTGGGCCCAGGCAGATGGGACGTCTCTCATTTGACAGTACAACAGGAGTGGACAGCTTCAGTAGGGCAAGATCATGATCAAACTGGGATTTATTATAGTCATAAGAGGGGAAGATGTGCTCCTCTGCCACATCATGGTTGCTCTCTGTAGCCTCGACCACGTTCACATCAAATTCACCTGGAAATGTAATAAAATGAAATGAATTCACATTTTAATAGCATAATTGCAGACGTCAGGATATGTTCTTTATAGAATATTCTATTTTAAAGTATGCAGTCACAGAGTTTTGTTTCTCTCACCAGTTCTGACGAAGAGGGTGTGTCCATTTAATCTGGCCTTAACCAGACAGTGAGCTGCAGTGATTACCCAAAATTCACTAATCAGAGAGCCTCCACAGACAGGCAGCGTTTTGTTATACTTGGGTAGAAAAGTCATTAGGGCCACCTGCGAATGCAAACGGGGAAACTTTTACTTTAATCAACAGTCCAGTAAACCTCACTCTGGCCTTTCACGTTTGTTTTTAACACATTTTGGTTTTAATATTTAATCCTTGTTAAAAATTGTACTAATTGTTAACTAATTTTACTAATTAAATTTAAGTAATTAAATTAAGTAAGTTAGGTAAAAAAATGTATTGATATTAAGTAACATTTTATTTTCCAGTTGGTCAGGTATGAAAACCTCAAAACCCTTTAAATTATTAAAAACATTTTCTCCACTGTTAATTTCATGAAATCATTAATAAATATTAATGCATTTGCAAATATGTCCAACATGTTGGATGTGTGTGTATATATATATATATATATATATATATATATATATATATATATATATATATATATATATAAAACTGTAACTGGAGTGTGTGAAAAAAGTAATTTCCCTCTGGGATTATTTAAGTATTTCTGATTCTGATCTCCCATAATGAATGTGCAGTTTAAGTGCAGTTTATATGGGGCTTTGATTGCACTTATCTGCAGTCACTGGCATACAATTGCCAAAAACAAAGACACAAAGAAATTTTAAATACTTATTTTTTGTCAATGCTGTTATTTTTATCACAAAGAAATTTTGAGGTAAAACTTAACAAAAGTCTATTTTGCACAACACTGCTTTAAATGAGGGGATAAAAGGATTTTTTCATGCTGAAATGTTATGGATGTTAAAAATACATCACACAAACACACACACACACACACATATATACAGAAAGTCACATCTGCTATTAACATGTCAGTTATCTCAAGACTTTCAGGAAAACTCGTTGGGCATTACCATCTGAGGAGTATATGAGGAGCAGACTGTCACCATCTCCTCGCCAGAGTGTTTGCCAGTATTGGGTACTCTAGCCCCTCTGAGTTTAGCGAGTCTAACCTTTGAGTTTTCGTTTCTCTGAGTCCTCTGGTTCTAACCCTTTGTCTCTCTTGTGGTCTCCGGCAGGCTTATCTCCTGATCAACTGGATAAGCCTGGACCGTCAAGCCTTGGAAGGAATTTGTTTATCTCTCTGAGAGAAAGAAACTATTCCTCTGATCAGTACGCAGTCCACTTCAGGAAAGCTTGTGAGAGACTGCTCCCCTGCTTCTCTGGACCACCATTAGTCTGCCTGTCCGCCCTCCAGCAAGTAATCTCCTAATCTGAACAAGCCCCCCTACAAACAAGAATCAAGGAGCAACCACAAACCTCTAAAGTGAGTCCTTAACTGGCAACAGTATGTTTCAGTATTGACCTGTTTTTCCAATGGACCTTGAACTCACCACTCTGATCTCCTCCTAGAGTCTGCGCTTACGGTTCACCAGACCGCTGGATTTCCCCCAAGCTGTGATAACCATTGTTTTGTCTCTCTGAGCTCCCCACTTTTCAATAAACTGTTAAACTTTTCCCAGCCTCTGAGTTTGCTTCTGTATGTGGACTGAACATTTAAAACCCATCATGACACAGTCCTAGACTGGACTAGAGGCAGCCCCCTCATAACCCTGTCAGACACGTGGTAAGTATGGATAGCGTTGAAGTAGGAAAGTTTGTGTGGGTCTAAATTAGAAAAAAAATTGATAAATAAAATCCTTTAATGTGGTCTGAAACTCTGTAATATACTGTAGAGTCTGTTTCTGTAAATCCACTATTACCTTCAGGGCATCGTTACATTTTTCCCACAGAGCCAAACAGGCTTGGATAGAATTTCCTCTGCATGAATGAAAACTTAACCATTTGAAAACAAATTTCTTCTAAAATCCTCAAATTACCTTTTAAAGTGACAAAAGACTCCCATGAAAAACAAAATCAAAATATCTTTATGGGAGAAAATAGTATTCAGTGTACAAAGTTTTTCAATGATATACTGTATAGAGATTATGTCAGAGTTTTTTCCCCCATGATTTTTTTTTCTTCTTTTCATCAAGTTGAGACCTAGATAGCTGTATATCTTCTAATCAGGCAAGCTTGTCAGATTGAAAACACATTTAGAAAATAATAACCTCAAAGCAGGCATTAGTCTGACATGATGCTCTAATTTTTAATGTCCTCCTTTCATTAGTTGTATGCTAAACCATCATAATGAACAGAAATGGATGCTTGAAAGCATCACTCTGTGTGTAATTATTATATTCTTTTTTTTCCACTTAGTGAATGTAGTTACTGAAATAAGGTGGCCTTTCAATAATATTCTAATTGATTAAATGTGGCAGACTGGAGAGATGGAGGCTAAAATGCATTGTCAAGATACAGAAACCTTATATATGAACAGATTACAAGGAAATATTGTGGGTCGGTACTTCCCTGCATTATTATTGTTGTTGTATATTACCTGATAAAAAAAACAGGAAGAGTATGTGGTAAATACTGTTGGAAAGGTCAAAGGTTACCTCATTATAAATGACCCTTCACACCTCCACCATTGACTGTTCTCCCTGCTGCCTTCTGGGAAGAGGCTCTGCAGCATCCGCTGCATGACCAGCGGGTTCTGCAACAGTTTTTTCCCCGCTGCCAACAGATTGTTAAACTGTTGAAACTCTAAACTGGACTCTGCATCACACTTTCATTATTTTACACCACCAACGTGGCTCAAACTTTTGTAATCCTACTAAATAGGACACAACTCAATGTTATACTGCATTTTGCACTGTACTGGACATTTCCATATTAATGCCCTTTTGCACCATTTTATTTTTTTTTACTGGTTTTACTTTTATGCTATACTGTTTACATGATGAACACTGCTGCACTTTAAAATTGTAATGTTCATTTCACCGTTTTAATCTGCTCATTTTACTGTTGGAAGCTGTAAGCAATTTTGTATACACTCGGTGTATACAAAATGACAATAAAGTTTGTCTAAGTTTCTAAGTCTGATACTGTGGGTTGCAATGGTGTAACAACGCAACAATAGCAAGTANCGGATATGTCCCGGGAAATACGGACGTTTGGTCACCCTAGGCTAAAATGCATTGTCAAGATACAGAAACCTCATATATGAACAGATAAGGAAATATTGTGGGATGGTACTTCCCTGTATTATTATTGTTGTGGTATAATAGCTGGGGGAAAAAAACAACAAGAAAAGTATGTGGTAAATACTGTTGGAAAGGTTAAGAGACCCCTCTGGGAAAGGCAGGTTTTGCAAAACGGTTGTAATATTAAACAGTTGTGGTGAACCCAGGAGGACATTGGAGAGGATCATCAGGAGTCCTCTTCCCTCCATTCATAAACAATTTCATCCCAGCGCTGCGTGTCTCGAGCCTGTAACATTATAAATAACCCTTCACACGTCCACCATTGACTGTTCTCCCAGCAGGCCTCTGGGAAGAGGTTTCACAGCATCCGCTGCATGACCAGCGGGTTCTGCAACAGTTTTTCCCCCGCTGCCAACAGATTGTTAAACTGTTGAAACTCTAAACTGGACTCTGCATCACACTTTCATTATTTTACACCACCAACGTGGCTGAAACTTTTATAATCCTTCTTAATAGGACACAACTCAATGTTATACTGCATTTTGCACAATATTTATTTTGCACTGTACTGGACCTTTCCATATTAATGCCCTTTTGCACCATTTTTTTTTTACTGGTTTTACTTTTATGCTATACTGTTTACATGATGATCACTGCTGCACTTTAAAATGGTAATGTTCATTTCACCGTTTTAATCTGCTCATTTTACTGTTGGAAGCTGTAAGCAATTTTGTATACACTCGGTGTATACAAAATGACAATAAAGTTTGTCTAAGTTTCTAAGTCTGATACTGTGGGTTGCAATGGTGTAACAACGCAACAATAGCAAGTAAATAACATTATCTGTGTGGGCTCCATATGAAGTACAACACGAGATACTGTAAAGGTTTAGGATATGGCCACAGTTCCAAGAGGCCAAGAGGATACAATTATGCAATTCTCCATAATATGTGATCACACATCACACACGGAAAAATAGTGACTGCACACCTTGAATGGAACCATTGGTGACAGCGCACCACCACATGTTACAGACTGTTAGAAATATTTCATTTATACTCCGTTTGGGTTTCATTCTTCTAAACATGTGTTCTTGGAACAATTCAATTGTAAAACAACCACATGCTTTGTTTTCACATATGTGCTGAGGTTTAAAGTAAGATCCTTTTGTTTCCCTTTCCCTTAGTTAAACCTCAGCTGGTGTAATTAGGGACATCCCCTTTTCTTCAATAAATAGCAAGGAGAAAGCTGAAGACTGCAGAGTGGGGTAGAGATTGTAAACTCCGCACTCTCTTCCTACTCTCCTCGCGAGTAACTAAATTAATTGTCTCTGTGCCTTCTTTCTTTCCCTATATGTATGTATGTATGTCGTTTTAGGTGCTTAGACCTGACACAGACATCTCAAGTTCCCAAAACTAATTTCAGGGAGATGCTTATCAGGAAGATGCTTATGCTTATCTGACATGTGTTGCGGTATAAATATGGTCCGCTGCGTTCAGTCACTTAAGTATCAGGTGGGTTTAAGAGAAAATTTTCGCACAATTATATTTGCAAGGACACGTCCTTGTCTACAATTGCATAGGGGACCCACCAGGTGTCAGTGATGGGGCCCCTATTTATGCCATCGGTGGGCTGGTTTTAAAACAGTGTTACATCAATTCAAAGTTTTGATCCTATACTAAAAATGTATGACTTATGATTAAAAAATTATTAACCACCTTCATTTTGCATTCAAAAAGACTGTACCTGCCAAGGTATCTCTCCAGGTTTGGCATCATTTCCTCCAACAATCCTCTGGTCTGAGTTTTTGTCCTCTGTGATGGTGGGGAGTGTAGGGAAACCCCAGGAATACTTTTCTAGAGGACTTTTGGTTGCATCTGTTGTGGCACTGATGTTTACAGTGTTAGCAGGGTTTAAAGAGGAACTGGAGCTCAACCGCACTGACCTTATATTTATTACAGAATCTGATGAGTTGTCAGACAGGTCTGATGCATTCAATGGGGGGTTGGGGTAATCCTCAGTTTCTTCATAATAATCGTAGTAATCCTGATGGCTGCTGGTGGAGTTTTGTTGTGTTTTAACAGAGCTTGCTGGGTTTGAGGATGCTGCCCACCTGAGTGATCTGGTAACAGCTCCAGGGGACAGGCTCACAATACCACAACTGAATGATCCTGAAGAGACAATAAACATTGCCTGAGTTTAACAGCTGTTTAACTCAGATTTCCAATGTTTTTATTTGTAAACCCGTCTTTCTAAGTGTTATGTACAAAAGTTGTAATATGATGATTACTCCCTTATAAGTCTTTTAGGGTCAGATTACCTTGGAGGGAATACCTTGGCTGCGTTTTAGATAAATGTTTACATCTTTGCTGACCAGTATATAGTTTCCACATAACTATTACCTTTCCAACACTGAACATCTATAAATGTCTGCATTGTTGATTCTAGTTGGTTGATTTTCTGCGCAGCAGAAAGAATACATTGTAGATAAAATCCAGAGAACTCTGCTCAGTGTTGTGTTTATGTGAATGTTACTTTTTTTCTTTTACCTGTTGCTTCACAGCTTTTTCTATCTGTTCCAAGTTTATAACCAGCTGCACAATGACATACAGCCCGCCGTGCTTGCATTTTGCAGAAATGCGAACAGCCACCATTGTTGACAGAACACTGTCTGCTCATGTCTGTAAAAAAAGAGAACAGACCCTTAAACTGCTTCTGTGCTGAAAAGATGACTTTGTTGTTTGTTATACTTACCGGTCTCACAGTTTTTGCCACTGAAGTTCGGTCTGCACCAGCAGATATACGAGCCTACTCCATCCTGACAAACTCCGCCATTCTGGCAGGGCTTTGGCTCACATTGATCACCATCTATGGACAAAGATAAAACAAACACATAGATTCAGACCTGATTTAACTCTACAGTGTGAAAAGATGATAAATATTTCACTTACCAATATAGGCAGCCCAGAACTGTGTCTGGAAGTGAAACAGAAATACCAAAGATATATAAATATATATAAAAAAAAAAAAATTAAAAAAGAAGATTTATTGATTTGCTTGTGTTCAAACCTACAGTTTTCTCGTCGTCCTCGAACCACTCCCTGGCCTCCTCCATGTTACATTGCTCCTCCCTACATTCCCGCTCCAGGTTAGCCTTCTGTAGGATTTCCTCCAAACGGCCACTGTTGTATCGTCGTTGGCGTTTCAGCACCACGTGTGCTGTCTGCTGAGAGATAAACACAGTCTCTAAAAGGAAAATGAGAACGAAAAAAAAAATTCAGAGATCACGTGGCAAAATCTGTTTAACCCTAATGAAAACGTAAAAGGCTGCAAAATATGAAATAACTTTGATAATACTGCGAATTATATAAAATATCCAAAACTCACATTGGATCAATCTATTTTGGTTGCAATTTGTTGTACTTTACAGCAGTGTTTCCCAACCCTTTTTGAATTGTGTACTTTGGGCATTTTGTGTGTTCATTTTGTTTTACGCCTCTCAGTCAAAAATATTGATGGTTGTCCAAAAGTGAAATGTACCATAACGGAATCTGAAATAAAACTATTTTAATTAATTCTTTCCTTTTTAAATACAAAACATAAGTATGTTGCCTGGAACTTAGTAAGGAATTGAAATATACACAAAATAAAAGCATATT